CACCCACCCACCCACCCACACCCGGGCCTAGTCACTCCCAGCTTTCTGTAAACCGAACTGGGACAGAGGAACAGTGAAAGTTCTGTCTGGAGGTTCCTGGAAGATTTAGAGGATTAAGGTATTGGAAAAGATTTACTAAATAGAGATTATTAAAGACAAAAAAATGATTAGAGTACTAGAAGAGATTTGCAAAGGAAGCGGCTTTCCCTCTTCTTGATGGCACGCCCTGAAGCATCTTTATATCATTTCCAGGGTCACCACACTCCAAAGTTGGCCTGAGGAAAGGTGGGTGCCAGGCTACTTAAGGAGTCAAGCTGGACAGGAAGGTCCCCAAGAACCAGAAGAACTAATGCACTTGGATGCGGTCCTGTGTTTCTGCAAACCACCAGTGCATCCATCACCTGAGGCCTATGAGGCCCTGAGCATCTCTCTGACCCCTGTCCCTCAATCACACTGCTCCAGCCACATGGTCTTCCATGCTGCTGTTCCTACAGGCCAAGCAGCTTCCAGCCTCTGGATCTTTGCTGTCTGCTGTTCTCTGTACTCTCGTGACTAGACTGGCTTCACTTGCCCTTCCAGTTAGAGCAGAAAGGGTTGTTTTTCTTCTGTGGGTGAGCTATGTACCAGACAGGGATTCATGCAGAAAATAGTAGGAAGTGCCAGACTCTGCGCTAGTCCCTTCGGGCATGTGTGACCTTGGGCAAGAGACCCCCACCCCGCTGAGTCTGTTTGCTCATCTGTAAATAGGGTTAATAAGAAACCCCCAGAACCCACTTTTCAGGGCTGCTCTGAGCATCAAGTGCAGGCAGATGCCAAGAGCCCTCAAATGTAACAACCTTGGTTTGCAGAGAGTGCTTAAGAAGTAAGTGATGTTGGGCCGGCCCCGTGGCTCACTCAGGAGAGTGCGGTGCTGATGAACCTTGGTTTGCAGAGAGTGCTTAAGAAGTAAGTGATGTTGGGCCGGCCCCGTGGCTCACTAAGGAGAGTGCGGTGCTGATGACGCCAAGGCCATGGGTTCGGATCCTATATAGGGATGGCCGGTTTGCTCACTGGCTGAGCGTGGTGCTGACAACACCAAGCTAAGGGTTGAGATCCCCTTACCGGTCATTTTTTAAAAAAAAAAAAAAAAAAAAAGAAGTAAGTGATGTTATTAGCATGACCACATTCTGCTTCTTTCCTGAGTCCTCCTGGAAGGTGGGGCACAAAACTCAGCACTGGGACAGTGCAACCCTGGGTTCACCCCAATTCCACTTCCTACAGCTGTGAGACCTTAGACAAAGGCTTCCCTGCCCTGTGCCTGTCTTCTTGCCTGTAAAATGGAGGTAATAACCATTCCTTCTTCCCAAGGGTAGTAGCAAGGAGGATAACCATGAAGGCTCAGAAATAGGCCTCCTCGGGCCAGCCTGTGGCTCACTCGGTGCTCATAACACCAAGGCCTGTGTGGTGCTCATAACACCAAGGCCACGGGTTCGGATCCTGTATAGAGATGGCCGGTTAGCTCACTGGCTGAGCGTGGTGCTGACAACACCAAGTCAAGGGTTAAGATCCCCTTACCGGTCATCTTTTTAAAAAAAAAAGTAATAGGCCTCCTCCATGATGACCCTTGATAGATGTGGACATTAACACCATTAGTTATTAGTAAGTGTAAAGGGCTTGGTATGTGGCCCATGGTAGATGCAAAGTAAAACTGTTCTTCTTAAGGGCCGGCCCGTGGCTCACTGGGAGAGCGTGGTGCTGACAACACCAAGCCAAGGGTTAAGATCCCATTACCGGTCATCTTTTAAAAAAAAAAAATGTTCTTCTTACATATATTTTAAAAATCATTTATTATATAACCCTGCTACCTGCTTTTTCCTATGGGGTTCATAACAGATCCCTCAAAATAAGCCAAGAGATTGTTTTTTGTTTTTTGTTTTTTGTTTTAAAGATGACCGGTAATGGGATCTTAACCCTTGGCTTGGTGTTGTCAGCACCACGCTCTCCCAAGTGAGCTAACCGGCCATCCCTATACAGGATCCGAACCCGTGGCCTTGGTATTATCAGCAACACACTCTCCCGAGTGAGCCATGGGCCAGCCCTTAAGTGATTATTTTTTACCTCCATGTGGTCCCTCATTTTGAGGCCTCCATTAAGAAACATAACTGACAAGCCTATTTTGTCCAGCAGGTGCTCCTTTTATTCATTTGGGAGTGAGCTGTTGAGACGCAGTGCAACTTCATAAAGTCAAGGGTGCCAGGAAAGGGAGCCTGACAAATGCAGAGAAGCGCAAGAAGCTTGCTGGAACCTTCCAGCCCTGAGGGTGCCCTTGACACACCGGTCACAGCTGCTGGCCCAGAAGGTGCCAAATGGATCTCAGAATGAGATCAGGGTGCCTGCTCCATCCGAAGCTCAGGACCATGTCCATCTGTCCCTGTCATGTACAACAGTGTGCAAAAAACCTGAAAATATATTCACACAGGATCACAGAATAGGCTCCACTTGGCGTCTCTTGGCCTAAGAAGCATTCTGGTCATGAAGGAAAGGTCGGGAAGTTTCCGTCCTTCCAAACTCCAGGGCATGGCCAGCTCCCCTGGTTTCTCCACCGCAGGGCCCGCCAGTCAGGCCTTCATACTGGCGTCTCCTCTGCCACCTTCTTCAGGAGTCCAGCTGCCAGCGGGGAGTGCTGGGGACCTTCGGAGCCATCCACGTCCCTGATCTTCAGGCGCACTTTCTGGTTGGTCCTTCTCCACTCGGAGTACAGCTGGCAATGGTAGCGGAAGGAGACCTGCATACGGAACAGTCCTGCGATGAATGGGAAAGCCGAGACAGCCTCCACCCCCAAAGAAAATGGGTCCCCCATGCCACCTCCCTTGGTCCAAACCAGAGCTGGGCTCAAGCTTCTAGAAGCAGAGCCAGCATCTGCGCATTTTTCATGCAGTGTGCACAACCTACCCACACACTGTCGTGGGGATACTCCCTACCAGTTTTCAGAGTCCTGCAAAGGTGAGGGACCCTCCCCGAAGCAGGGAGTGAGGGGGAACTAGGAGCTCCCTTTCTTTTTGGGGGCAGCTAGTGGGTAGCAGGGATCCGAACCCTTGACTTTGGTGTTACCAACACCACACTCTAACCAAATGCTCTAGGCAGCCAGCCACGAGAGGCTCCTTTTCTACCTTTTAGTGGGAAGGGAGTGATAAAACTTCTTGGAAGGAATAAAGGTCAACTAGTCATACAACTGCCAAAACTTGAAAGCAACCAAGATGTCCTTCAGAAGGTGAATGGATAAACTCTGGCACATCCAGACAATGGAATCTTATTCTGCGCTAAAAAGAAATGAGCTACCAAGACATGAAAAGACATAGAGGAAACAAGTGAAAGAAGCCAGTCTGAAAAGGCTACACACTATGTGATTCCAACTCTATGACATACTGGAAAAGGCTAAACTATGGAGACAATAAAAAGGTTAGTGGTAGGGGCCGGCTCGTGGGTCACTCGGGAGAGTGTGGTGCTGATAACACCAAGGCCCCGGGTTCGGATCCCATATAGGGATGGCCGGTTCGCTCACTTGGGAGAGCGTGGTGCTGACAACACCAAGTCAAGGGTTAAGATCCCCTTACCAGTCACCCTAAAAATAATAACAATAATAAGATTAGTGGTTGCCAGGGGTTGGAAAGAGGAATGAATAGGAGGAATAGGAAGGATGTTTAGGGCAATGAAAATACTTTGTATGGTACTGTCATAGTGGACATGTGTCATTACACACTTGTCAAAACCCATAGAATGAACAACACCAAGAGTGAACCCTAATGACCCTAATGTGAACTACGGACTTGGAGGGATAATGATGTATTGATAAAGGTTCATTGATTGTAAAAAGTGGACCACTCTGGTACAGGATGTTGATAATGGGCTGTGCGTGTTGGGGGCCAGGGGGTGATATATGAGAACTCTCTGTACTTTCTGCTGGGTTAGCTCAGTTGGTTAGAGCGCAGCCTTATAACACCAAGGTCACAGGTTCAGATCCCTGCACTGGCCAGCCTCCAAAAAAAAAAAACTTTCTGTACTTTCTGCTCAATTTTGCTATGAACCTAAAACTGCTCTATTACAAAAAATAAAAAATAAATGTCAATGGCTCATACCCTTTGTTTTCTTATTCCTTTTTTCTTTTAGTTTTGCTTTTTTTTCCAATTTTCAGTGGTTCATACCATTTGACCAAGCAAGTTCCCAAGAAACTTGTGGGGTTTTTATTTGTTTGTTTTTTTGGCAGTTGCTACTGGGAACTGAATCCTTGACCTGGGTGTTACAGGGCTGTGCTCTAACCAGCCAGCCCCCTAGGGAACCTTTACACAGGTGGTGCCCAAAGCACTATTCACAACAGCAAAAAAAAAAAAAAAAAAAAAAAAGGAAGAGGAGAAAAAAACCGCACTGGAACGAATCCTGGTGTCTGTCAAAAGGGATTGGTTAAATAAATATGGTACACTCATACAAGAATGACTGCTGGGTACCTGCCTTTGTCCTTTTTTTAAAGGACACTAGCAAAGTGAAAACAAGCAGACTGCAAAATAGTACCTGTGGTTTCGTCCTATTTATGTTTTTAAAAATATGTATATATGCTGGTGGACGCACTGAAAAATACTGCTTCGGGAGGGGACTCTGCCACCGTGGGATGACAGTGGTTACGTCTGATGGGTGAGACTGTGGGGGATTTTTTTCTCTCTGGGCAATAGTTCTAATGTCTGCAGGAACCTGAAACAACACTCAGGACTGGTGATCAGGTGCCCTGGTACCCTCAGAGCACAAGGCTCACACCTGGCTCAGGGCTTCCTTAGACTTTGGTCATGCTTGGAATGTGGAGTTCCACAAAACGCAGGGTGAGCTTCGGGGAGAGCTTCCGCTGGGGCCGTAGGCAGAGGCAGTCAGGGAGCCCCTCTGATATGAATTGGGTCCCCCAAGTTTTATGTATTAGAAACTTGACCCCCACTGTGACTGTTAAGAGGGTGGGAAATCCTATTGTGGTAATTGAAAGGTGTAGGATTAGATTGTAGGACCATGCAGTAGTGAATGGATTAATAATGGTGGTCAGGGGCGTGGTTCTGGGGACTTTAAAAGGAGAGCGTGTAAGAGGCAGTCTCTCTCTGCCTCACCACTTTCTACCATGTGAGACCCCTGGGTCACAGTTGCCACCACCAAGGTCTTCATCAAAAGTGTTCCCTGGACTTTGAACTTCTCAGCCTCTGAAACTGTAAGCAATAAATTTCATTTTCTTTATAAATTACCCAGTTCCAAGTATTTTTGTTATAAGCAATAGAAACGGACTAGTACACCCCCCACCTCCGCAAGTCCCTAACCAAACCCCTGGCCTGCTGCTGCTTCCAGTTGGGGACCCCACTCACCAGCGTCCAGAGGACATAGATGGTGAACAGGGCGATGGTGAGAGCAATGAGCCCCACGGCCTCCAGCCGGCTGTGCAGCCGGAGGTGGTCCTGGGCCCCGCGTAGGCACAGCCAGCCTGAGATGGCAGCCAGTGGCGTGATAAACAGGAAACACACCATGTCGCAGCACAGTGTCCGCTTCTCTGTCCGCGGCCCTGGGTCCTTCAGCCACTGCCAGGGAGTGGATGTGAAGAAAGAAGGGGAACAGGGAGATGCTGAGGGGATGTGGCGTGAGGGACCACCAGACCTGGGCCTCCCTCCATCTTTTCCTTCTTTCAAATACTTATTGAGCCTGTGATGAGCCAGGCCCTGCTAGGTGCTGAGTACTTTTGCCACCGTTTTGCAGATGGGGAAACAGAGACATGGAGAGGTTAATTTGTTGGTGTAAACTCATACAGCTAGTAGCCCACAAAGCCAGGATCAGAACCCAAGAAGTCTTACTCCAGGGCCTCAGCTGCTAGGCTACACTGCCTCCCACCCACGAAATTCTGGTGATCAGGACAGATGCTAGCAGGGGGAAGGGAAGTATGAAATGGGGTGAATGGTCAGAAAGGGGAAGACCTTGCTGAAGAGGGACCTCGAGGAGAACAGAAGGAGCAGAAGGAGCCAGGTTGGCTGGCCAGTTAGCTCAGTTGGTTAAAGTACGGTGTTGTAACACCAAGGTCAAGGGTTTGGATCCCAGTACCAGCCAGCCACAGGGAAAAAAAAAAAAGAAGGAGCCATGTGAAGAAGTGGGGAGATGGTGTTCTAGACTGCAGGAACTGCAGATGCAAAGGGCCTGAGGTTGCAGTGTGTGGCCTAGACAAGGTACAGCGGGGAGGAGGCCCGTGAGACTAGAGCACAAGGACGAAGGTGGGGGGAGGGCGGGGTTGGATCTCTCTCCCACTGTTCTCCTTACAGTCTGCCTCCCAGGTGGGACAGAGGTTTTTCCAGGGACTCTCAGTCCCCCTGGGCTCCCTACTGTGGCCCTGACCGCTCTGGGGCAACACTCCCCAGCCTCGGGGCTGGCCTCTGCCCCTCATGCTTCGGTCGACTGAATGACATCTATGCTGCAGCTCTCAGCTGTCCCATGCCAGGCCAGGCAGGGAGGGGCTGGCAGTATCCAGATGGCCACCTGGGGAACAGCAGTGAGGCACCTGCCATGCCTAAAATGCCCTGTCTCAGTCCCAACCCATCACACACAGGCTAAAGTCTAAGCCACTGGGGCACAGCCCACAAAGCCTGGAGTGACCACTGCCACCTCCTTTTGGGGCACCCTCTCCCTCCTTTAACTGGATCCACTCCAGCCACTCAGGCTTGGAGAACACCAAGCTCTTCCCGGCCTCAGGGCCTTTGCACTCTCTGTGCCCTATGCCAGGACCACCCTTGCCCAGGTTCTTCGCATTGCTGGCTCCTTTTTATCACTCAGGTCACGGCTTGGGGGTTCACCTCCTGTCAAGGCCTTCCCTGACCCCCACGTTGTGGCCCGGTACATCCCCACCCCCCGCAACGTTTCCCCCGTAGCACTACTGCTCCCAGCAACCAGCTGCTTCATTGATTTACCGGACTTCAATCTCCGTGAGCACTGGCCATATGTGTCTTGTTGGTGGCTAGGTCCCCAGCGCCTAACAGAGTGCTGGGCACACTGGGGGTGCTCAAAAATTATTTGTTAAGGAAAGAGTAAATCAAATTAGGGAGGGAGTAAGGGTTTGGCAGGTTTGGAATCTCAGGCCAGATCTCCCACCCACCATCAGCAGAATCTATTCCAAGGACAAGTAGGGAGGCCCACCCTATAGAGAAGCCGCTTCTCCAGCCCACCAAGATCCCCCACGGCTGCTCCCACCTCCGGCCCCTATACTTGACTTCCTCCCTCTGCCCATCCCCATCTCAGGCTCCTGAGGGTACCTCTGTGAGGGGCCGGGGCTGCTTCTCCACTGCAAACTCCGTGTGGCACAGCTCGCAGTAGCTGGTGTTGGACGAGGAAAGCCACCTTTCCAGACAGCTCTTGTGCACGGCGCCCAGCGTGCCAGTGCAGCCACATGGAGACAGCAAGCTCTCCCCGTTTGCTCCCTCATGGCAGATCCGGCAGAAGGGACCATCACTGAACACAGAGATAGGACCCGTGATGCTACCCGCTGGATCACAAGCTCACAGTTGCCCCCATGCTGTCCACTTGGTGAACTCCTATTCATCCTTCAAAGCCCAGCTCCAAATGTCCTCTCGAGACAGCAAGCTCTCCCCGTTTGCTCCCTCATGGCAGATCCGGCAGAAGGGACCATCACTGGACACAGAGATAGGACCCGTGATGCTACCCGCTGGATCACAAGCTCACAGCTGCCCCCATGCTGTCCACTTGGTGAACTCCTATTCATCCTTCAAAGCCCAGCTCCAAATGTCCTCTCCTGTGAGAAGCCTTCCCAGACACCCACAAGCGGGATGATGTGCTCCCTCCCCAGGGCTCCTGTGGCACTTTTAGGCCCAGGGTGAGCACCTCTTATATGTGCCTGCCCAACGTCCTCTCCCCTCTTCCTACAATTTCACCCTGATTGTCCTGGGCAACCACCCCACTCTCAACTCTTCGTTCTCAAGGACTAGGCAAAACTGACCACACCCCTGATGACCTCAGGCCTGACTGATCAGAACACCATACACCCCTGGTAAGGGGACTGACTCAGGGAAGGGTTGTGTGATGCAATCAGAGCCACTGGGAATCAATTCCTGAAATTCTTTTTTCCCCCCTAAACACCAGAATTGCCGGCGGCAAGGGTGATGTCAGCCTGCAGCTGCTGGCAACTGCCTGGTCTCCATGTGGAGCCTGTGAGTGGTGCCAACACAGAGGAAAGCAGAGCCAAGAGATAGGGAAAGGCGGATTCTTAAGGACATCATCGATGCCCTGGATCTAGCTGCACCTGAAGGCCAGGCTGCCTGAGAAACCTGTGCAGCCAGAGAGAATTGCTCACCTGCTCCTCCGTGCGCGAGATGGGAAAACAGACATAAAAAGCACCTGCAGAAAGCCGCCTTGGGAAAGTCTACGCCCTAGCCCAGTCTCCGGGGATAATGGGTCCTTCCTGGGGCAGCTCAGGAGGCAGGGGGTGTGGCCTTGGTGGGCCCAGAGGCTGTCCAGAACATGAGTCATTGTTTTCCAAACATTTCTGCCCAGAAAGCAGAGGCTGGGACACACAAAAGAGGCTGAGCAGGAAAGCTGTTTTCCAGATAACCTCCTGGAAATAACTTGTTTTCTGTCCTTTACTCAAATGATTCAAAAAGAGCCCAACAGACGGCTCATGTCTGCTTTCTTGTCAGTCCTGTCCCTGGACTGCTATTTTCTCCTATAATGTCAAAAGGGCATGCCTGGGTCCTTTCTGTTTACACACACACACACACACACACACACACACACACACACACACACACACACACGAAAGGAGTCCCTCCTGCTCCAGAAGCCAACTCAGGGAAATGGAGATGACGAGAACCTTGAGGAAGAGCCCTATCAGTTTGGAGTTTGCTCTGAGAAACGCTGGGAAAGGTCAGAAGACCAAATTCAAAGAAGGGAGAATAAACACAAAACTTCAAACTTATTGAGCACTTATTATGTACCAGGCCCTGTTCTCAGCGCTTCATCTGGACTCATTTATCCCATTCTCACAATGAGCCTGTGAGGAAGGTGCTATTTTTGCCCACATTTTATAGAGGGGGAAACTGAGGCATGAAGGGTAAACTTGTTGGTGCAAACTTGCACAGCTACTAGTCCGCGAAGCCATGATTAAAGCCTGGGAAGTCTTGCTTCAGGGCCTGAGCACCCTGGGCCATGTTGCTACACTGCCTCCTGCAGATGACACACCAGAGAAAGGGGCTCTGCTCCTGAAATTCTGGCAGGGAAATCATGCAAAGAGTACAGATGAGAAGGAAATGGGGTGGGCGGAGGGAGGAAACGTCTGCAGACCCCAGTGGGGCTGCCCAGAGAACACTCCAGGAGCAAGGAAAAAAAAGAAAAGGTAAGCAAAGAAGGAAATGGGAGCCCCAGTGAAGAGGGTGGCAGGGGGGAGGCCAGGTGGAAGGGCTAGGGAGGCAGAAGTGCTCAAGGAAGCTACCAGAAGGGACTGGGCTTATTCACAACCTGGTTGGCAGAGAGCTGAAGGCTCAGGGGGCAGAGGGGCCCCAGATGCTGGCTCTGAGCCTGAGCCTTTGTGGACTGTCCTGGGCCCTGGAGACACCTCCTGTGCCTTCCTCTTCAACCTCTGCAGGTTTCAGAGTCCAGAACTCTCCACCCCACCTAGTCCCTGCCGAGGTCTCTACCAAGTGCCCCCAGGAAGCAAGGTCTCCTTCGAAGCCATGGAAGGCCAACACAAAGTTGTTTTTGTTTTGGGGTTTGTTTGTTTTTTTGGTGGCTTGTGGGTTCGGGGATCTGAACACTTGACCTTGGTGTTATAACACTGCCCTCCAACCAACTGAGCTAATCAGCCAGCCCAACACCAAGTTATAAATAGTTTGACTGACTGATTACGAGGTGGTGAAGCCCCTTGCAGGCACTTCATGAGGACCATGACATTAGTATCTCAAAATAACCCACTGAGGAAAGGTAGTCCCCATTTCAGAGATAGTGATAAAGAAACTTGTCCCAAGTCACTCTGGGAAAGAGAGAGGTGTCCACTCATGATTTGAGCCTGGACACAGTGAGTCCACTTTTCAAAAAAAAGTTTTTGGTGGCTGGCCAGTACAGGGATCTGAGCACTTGACTTTGGTGTTATCAACCATGCACTCTAACCAACTGAGCTAACTGGCCAGCCCTCGCAGCCTGCGCTTTTAACTACTCCCTACACTGCCCCTCCAAATCATGACTTGCTTGCCAACATTTTGACCTTTGGATTTCACATAATAATGTGGAATTTTGGCTTTTCCTGAAGAATCAGATGTGGCCAGCCTGGGCCTCTGTTTCCACATGGTGATTACTGTCTGGGCCCCTTTCTCTGACATAGTAAGTAACCCATCTGGCCTCTCAGGATAGTTGGACTTCTGACCCCAGACTGGGAAGAAATGACTCAGCCCAGAGAGAAAAGGGGCAAAGGCCAGGTTAGGACACTCGCCCATTCACTTCTCACCTAGGGGTGTCCAAGGCCCGAATGACGGTCGAGAGGAGCCGGCCATCTCTCGAAGTCACCTGTGCCACGTACTGGGGTGGCCCAAGGCCTGTGGCCTCCACGATCTTGGAGAAGGCGGGGCTGCCAGAGCAGTCGCACAGGGAGCCAGGGAGGTGGCAGCAGTCACCCGTCGTCATGGCCACAGGGAGCCCCGTATCCTCAGGGCCCAAGGCCCATGGTCCCAGGAGCCTGGGGAGAGGCCAGGATGGAGGTTAAGGGCAAGGTTAGTGAGCTGATGGACTGGGGTTTGAGTCCCCTCTTGTCAAGGCTCTAGGGACCATCAGCAAAGCTCTCTGCACCTCAGTTTGTCTAATCTGTAAAATGGGCTTTGTGGGCGGCTGTGAGGACTCAATAGGATGCTACACACCACTCAGCCCGAGCATGGCCCACAGCAGGGGCTCAGGTTATATTATCTCTTACTCTCCTAAGGAAAGCCAGATCCGGCCCCACCTTCCAACATCACCTTTGCAGATATGGTAATAGCACCTGACATTTACTGAGCACCTACTGTGTGCCAGGCCCTGTACACGGTGCTTTCAAGGGCCAGATCCGTCCCATGCCTGCCATCCACCTAGAGACTTGTCCTCCAAGGATTGGATTCCTGCGGGGAGCCAGGCTCAGAGCATGCAAGTCCACCTTTGAGTGGAGCAGAACTGAGCTAGAAATTTGACCCCGCAGATGGGAATGGTGAGTCACCTTGGCCCTTCTGGTTTATAGCCTCTCGAAGGGCTGTAAGGGCTGTGCGCTCCTTGATACCTCAGGCCATCAAGGAAGTAGCATGGGCTGGGGAGGACGGTGGCAGCCTCTGTCCCCACCGGACCAGCTGCTCTGAGTCATGCCTCTGTCCCCAAGGGGAGGCTATAGGAGACATCTGGAGCCTTAGGCAGCAATTCTGAAGTCTGCTCTGGGTGACTTCAGAAGGGTTCTGCCCTCTTCTATCTTCTTCTTTTTTTTTTTTTAATTTTAAAAAGATGAACGGTAAGGGGATCTTAACCCTTGACTTGGTGTTGTCAGCACCGTGCTCACCCAGTGAGCTAACCGGCCATCCCTATATGGGATCCGAACCCGTGGCTTTGGTGTTATCAGCACCGCACTCTCCCGAGTGAGCCACAGGCTGGCCCCTCTTCTATCTTCTGACCAGCAAAAAGGAACCCTAGACGACATCATCCTCCATCCCAGAGCCAACCAATGAGAAATGGAGTAGGGCTTCCTGATCCCAATGAGACTTTTTTTTTTTTTTTTTAAAGATGCCCAGTAAGGGGATCTTAATCCTTGGCTTGGTGTTGTCAGCACCACGCCCTCCCAAGTGAGCTAACCGGCCATCCTATATAGGGATCTGAACATGTGGACTTGGTGTTATCAGCACCGCACTCTCCCAAGTGAGCCATGGGCCGGCCCTCTGATGACAGTTTCATGAAAGTAACAGAGGCCTCTGTACAGGTCTCCCTGAAGCCAATACAGGTGCCCTGGAGCCAAAAATCTCTGTCCCCAACTTGTCCAACCCCCAGGCTTTTGTCTCCAGGAGCTATGGTCCAGAGCTCCTGGAAGCCCCTCTAGTGTTCAGAAATTCCAAGCAAGGGAGGCAGCAGGCACTCACTGAAGTACCCACCCCCCACCTCAAGTCAGCTCCTGCCAACACCCGCCAGTCAAAATCTGAGACCCAGGGCAGGGAGGAAAGTGGTATAAGTCATTGACTAACTTTTTACACCAGCATGGTATACAGATGGCTCGATGCCCTCTGAACAGCTTGGCCAGAAGTTCTCCCAGCCTAATATGTGCTTCTGAGACTCCACAGTTGGGCCATTAAGCAAGTATGGGCCAAAGGCAGGAGGAGCCCAAGAGGAAGGCTGCACGCCTAAGATAGGGTGCACAGAGCAGTGGCCAGGCCTGCCTGCCATGTTTGGATGCTGCTGTCCCTCCTGAGCTCCTGCAACCAGAACTTACAGCTCTGATGTGAGTGGGGAAGCCTCTGGGCTCTCCAAGTGAATGTAGGTGGAGGGGAGTCCATTCTTCCTGGCTCTTTGAGAATGGTCTCAACATTTCTTTGCAAATAACTGGGCATTAGAAGAATCATCACAGCTCCTGAATATTAAGTTCTGCACTTTCTTTTACTATCAGGTAAAACAATTAAAAAAAAAAAACACTGGCAAATCTTCTAACGCAAGGTCTGCAAATCGCCAAAATGATAATAGTAGCCACTGTTTTTGAAGGACCAGGTGCCATGCCAAGCAATCTGCATATATGTTCATCATCTCACTGAACTCTAAACAGTTGTTATAAGTGTCCCGTTCAAAGGTCACCTCCTGGAGAAGCCTTCCCTGAGCAGTCTGGCTAACGTGACATTGGTGTCCACATTGCTCTCCTCAGAGCATGTGCTCCTCTATTTGAATTCTTTTTTTCTTTTGGAAAGCTAGCCAGGAAGGGGAACCGAACCCTTGACCTTGGGGTTACAAGGCCATGCTCTAACCAACTGAGCTAACTCTCCAACCCTTGCCCCTCTATTTGTTCATCCACTTAAATGTGTCTGGCTTCCTACTTTTTAATGAGCTCTGCAAAGGAAGGACCCTGTCAGACTCAATCCCCACCATCCCCAGTACTTGGGCCCCATGTCTCGTACAGAGTTGCTGCATTCATTGTTTTTTTGTGTTTCTTATTTTATTTTATTTTATTTT